GNTGTCCCAGCATCTACAGTCGCGGTTGAGCAAGCATTCAGTGAGGGCGGCTACATGCTAGATCCACGACGGTCGAGGATGACGCCTGATAATCTTCAAGCACAAATGTTACTGAGTGATTGGAAGAAGGCCGAACGAAGGATGCAAACTGCTATGCTCACTTCGAATGAGGAGGAGGACGACAACGACGATGCATCCGATTTTACGTCGTCGACAAGTGGAACCGGGGGGGACGTCGAAGACGAATACGAATATTAAAGGTATGCAGCCAAGGTATGTGATTTAGAAGAACTACGTGGACTTTGATTCCCAAATAAAGGGATACGTAGGCACCTTATTTAACATTATTAAGTTCGAGTATAATTTTTTGGCAACAAAATTTTTCATCGTACACGATATTCGAACTTAATAACTGTTAACTAAGCTCAAGTCCATTTCATTAATAATTTTTTTTTTTACACTTAAGTTGTACTTCTCCGCCATACTCAATAAAATACAACACCGTTAACCGTTTGACGTACAATTTAACAGACTCAAAAACTTATATTTTCGAAATATATACAAACTATTTATTCAAATAAACATTAATATACATTAAAATAACAAAAAAAGAAAAAAAAAATAATTAAAAACCCGCAAACCCGCCGGGTCCGACCCGGAACCGAGTCGACCCGCCGGGTTTGCGACCCGGCGGTTAAGGGCCGGTTCAGTGAACCGGCCCTTAGTTACAGGCGGGCCGGGCCCGGTTCACCATGTGTTGAACCGCCGACCCGGCGGACCGGGCCGGGTTTCGACCCGGCCCGGCAAATGGACACGTCTAATAATTTAAGAATGCGCTGAGTCTACGTGACAAATTCTCATGCTTCAGAATTCTATTTGGCAAAAAATCATGCTTTGGAGTTAGGCTTGAATATAAATTAATATTTATATTAATTGTATTTTAATATCATTTCTTATTATAACCATTGAATTGCAAATATATTTTAAAAGTTGATAACTTTTATATATCTTATCGGTTTACATATATAATATATCAAATTAATCATCTTTTGATGAGTTTCGATTTGACATGCATATTGTATATATAAAATAAATAAATTATATTTATCTTTATAATAATAATACAATTATTTATTAAAATTAATTAGAAAATAAAATTATTTATCAATTCATATATTTATGTTTAATGTAGTTATATGTTATAAGCTAGAAAATTTATTATAATATAACACATATTAGTCGCACAATTAACATGTGTCATACTAAAATATATAATAAAATATACTCCCTCATATTTTTATTATTTGTCATTATGGCTTAATTGATCATTGATAAAATAAATGTCATTTTAGATATTTTGTTCATATTTTTTTATCTTTAACCCTCCATCTAATATACAGTGTCTCTTCATATCTCATCTCCATCATTTCCCATAACATCCATTAAATAGGTTTAATATTGTCAAGAAAAAAAAAAATCTTAATTCGTGTGCTGCATTTGAATTGATATTATGAAGTCCGTTTGTATTTTACTATTTATATATATATATATATAATACAAAACAGTAATATATATCCTTATAAATAAAATTTAACTTTATTTATCAAATTAACTTAAATTATATCAAATAAAACTATAAATTATGTTATAAAGTAATAGAAATTGGTATGCATTCTTTTAAAAATGATATTTATTTCAAATCTAATTGGTATGTTGTCAATGTAATAAAAATAAATAATTATTTATCTAAATTCTAAAATTAATATAAAGTTAAAAATATGTGAAGCACGACTGATACGACACTTGATGTATTAGACATCTAATTAAGTAAAAAATTTAATCTATTTTGCTTAATATTAAATAAACGTATTCTACACTTATGCATATATATATATATCACCATATTATTTCTATTTATTTAAGATATATATTTTTATACTTATGTAATAGTAAATAATATTGATATTTTTATATGATATAAGTAAAAAAAAATTCAACATGGGTTGATATTTTCATTTAATATACGAGTGTTTAATTATTATGATTAAAAAAAATAATTTGACAATTTAATTAAAACTCAAAGTAATGTTTTATATAAAATTAAATTATTTTAGTTTTTAAAAAATAAAAAATTTAATATTTTTAACAAAAGCTTTCTATTTCAACACCTGTGTAATACACGGATATTGTACTAGTATTCTTTATTTCCATAAAATATTACTTGTATTGAAAATGCTATAGTANGAATAATTATCAATTTTTGTTATTCCTAATTAAATGTTTGTTTATGTTGTTGATTATCATTGATATAGTCTTATTTATTATTTTCAGTAATTTAGAAAATAAAATTGTTTGATATGATTTTGAATGGTAATGGATAGATTTTAATCTGCAATTGTTGTTAGGACCGACAACTCAAAATCCAGTTATCCATCAAGCCCAATATACAAATTCAAATGGGGTTCCATTTTAAAACCAATTGGCAATAGAATGAGTAGCTAACCAAACTTATATATTAGACTTGAAACCTTTAATTTTTCGATGTGGGATTGGGTGCAAACCCTATAGTTGTTGAATTAACTTGTTTTTTAGATTTTTGTTTTTGTACATCTCTTTTAGATTAAGATTCGTTGCACTAATAATATTTACATTATTAATAAGACTAATATTGCACATGCCTAATGGATAGACAATATACATTTTCAACAGATTACATATTTTTAAATTGAAATATCGTACTCTAAAAAATATGAAAAAAAAACAAAACTATGAAATTTCATAGTATATCTAAACATTTTTATTATAAAAATAAGACGGATTGACCAGTCTACTATGACTATATTTGATAGACAAATATGTTAATTTATAATTTATTTGATTAGCTTATAAGTTTCTTCTATTATTTAAATATAGGTAGGTTGTATCATAATTTTTCTTTGCGTATTAAATCAAAAAGGATTGACTATTTTGTATGAACTGTGACGTAATATATTGGGCACATGATATTGGTCTACACATATTGGGTGCCATGTTTTCGTTAAGTCAACGCTTTATTTAAATTCCATATCACCCACATAATAGTGATTAGTCAACAGATGGCGGCGGTGGACCACGATAGTGGCGGTGGCTAGAGAGCCGGCCGTCTTCAGTCACCACATGAAGAAGACTTTTTCTTCCAAGACATGATTAAAATATTAATATATTTAAAAGAAAGATTAAAGTTGAGTAGTTTAAGTAAAACAAGCCTGAGCTCAATTCATTTTGACTAGTTGATCTGCTCAAACTCGTCTAAATCTCATTTAATCAGCGAATCGAGTTCAATTTCTTTCAACTCAATCAGTTCGAGCTTGTTTAAGACTTGTATAGTCAATGAGTCAAACTTAATTCGTTAAGCATGATATATAAAGATATTTACATAATTTTTAAATCTTTTACCTTACATCGCTTAGCCGAGCTCGAGCTCGAGCTCAACAACTTAACGAATCGACTGATAGAAGTTTGATCTTCACTCGAGTATCAAGAGCTCAAGTTTAAGTTTCGCTGACTCGTTTCGTTTACAGAATTATATTAAACACATAATGTTGTACAAATTAATGAATTATACTAAATTAAGTTACTTATTTGCAATATCCCTATCTCTATTGTAAACATATTTGCTTTAATTATTTATATTAATTATATGTGCTTAATGAATCTATATATATATGGAAAAAATTATTTAAATTTAAAATACTTATTAAAACTTCTATTATATCCTTTGGGAAAAAAATATTTTAAATACTTATTCAAATCCGCAAGTTTTACATTATCCTTTGGTAGAGGATGGAATCATGATGTGCTACAAACTCTGTTCAATCCTCAAGAGGTGGAGGAAATTCGAAAAATCAAAAACCTAGATCCATTATCAAGGGACAGAGTCTGCTGGAATTGGGATGCCAAAGGGGAATTTTTAGTGGCCTCTGTGTATAAAAAGCTAGTCTGGGAAAAGTGGGGACAACTGGACAGAGCTGAGAGCAGTGTGGAGCAACAGCGGGGAAGAAAGGTTCGAAAGAAGAGCTGGTCATTGAAGATCAAAGGGAAAATTAAGCATTTCCTTTGGAGATGCTACTCCAACATCCTTCCTGTCAATGGAAAACTGAAGATGAAAGGCTTGTCAGTGGATGTAATATGTAAAACTTGTGGTGAAGCTCCAGAAGCCATGGAACATCTCTTCTTCCATTGTGATTATGCTCAAAAGATTTGGAAACTGGCTCCTGTCACTTGGGATGGGCTTTATGCTGATGCAAATGACTTTAGAGGCTGGTGGAACAAATTGTGCACAATGAAGCCTAGCAGAACTACAGAATCAAGACTTGAACTTACTGCATACTTGCTATGGTGGATTTGGAGATCAAGAAACCAATGGGTGTTCCAGCAGAGTCTAAGGCCTGCCAAAGATGTGGTGGAAATTGCTCTCAAAGAATGGAAGGAGTTCATGGACAGAGGTTAGACCAATTTTGGGATCAACTAGGAGTTTTGAGGCTCAGTGGTTGTGTCTCATATGGTCTAAATCTGGTAAATGGACAGGTTTCATATACTTTGAGTTGGAACAGTAGTTGTGTAGGCTTTGAACTTTGGGGATGTACTCATAATGCTTTCAGGCTGTGTTGTTATTGTGCTCATGGTATCTTGTTTAGGCTGTAGGGTGTGTTGTTCTGAACCTTTAGGGATTGTATTTTTGATGTGTATTAGTAGGTTGGGTTGTTTAGAGCAGTATCTGTAGCTTAGCCTCTGTTGCTCTAATTGATAGGTTGTTATTTAGGACACCGTATGGGTGATCCTCTCGGTTATGGCTAGTTAGCCATCGAACTTTGTACATTTGTTCTAGTTATGCAATNAGGTGGGAAATCACTTTAAAAGCAATGGTTTATACAATTATAAACTTGATTGATAAATAAATTCTGCACGAAACGACGTCGTCAGACGTTCAATTAGTCAAAAAAAGCTAATAAATGTAGGAGAACCACTCCTACTCCTCCACGTCTTCTTCTTTTTGACCCAGCAAATAACTGCCTATCCGATTCGTCTGTTGTTGACCGACTGTGACAGGCCCGTCGCCTTATCATCCATTGCGTCACTGTAATTCTCTCCTTTATATGGACTCCTATAACATCTGTAAACTTTTTGTTATTTATTTATATATTTATTACTTTCTCTCTCTAGAGACCCAAGGAGATCTCTCTCCTTTTCTCCCTGCCGAACGAGATGTCTTTGAAGCTCTCACGGCGGATCATTCATCGTTCTTTTGGAATTTCCAAATCGTCCCGGGAAAAATTCGGCGGCGATCATGTATGCGGCCTTGATGAATGCGGCTGTCGCGACGGCGGGAGCTGCCGGCCGCTTCAGAGGCAGGGCGGCGACGAATCCGGGCCGGGAGATTCTGGTTCCTGGGCGGGCATGCTGCCGGAGCTTCTAGGGGAAATAATGAAGCGGGTGGAGGCTGACGAAGGTAAATGGCCGCAGCGCCAAAACGTCGTCGCGTGCGCCTGCGTCTGCAAACGTTGGAGGGAAGCGGCGAAGGAGGTCGTGGAGAGGGCCGCCGTCAATCAGCCGGGGAAGATCACGTTTCCTTCGTCCCTAAAAAAGGTATGATTTTTTTATTTATTTTTATTTTTTCGTTTTCCCCTTTCAATTTTTAGGTAATTGATGATGTAGCTTTGGAATCACGGTGTTAGAGGGATAATTCTTTGTACGGGTTAGAAGAATTGGAGGATTTTGATTTTGTGGATTGTGTTGTTGATCTAAGAAATTGCTCTGGAAGAAGGACAAAGGGTCTGGATTGTAACTGCAATTTGTGGATCGAATTGGGTTTTGGATTTTGGACTCCAATGCGTAATGGGGTGAAATGAGTTGAAGAATCCAGCTTTATCTTCCTGAATGTAGCTGCAGTTTTATAGTTTATTCTCGTCTACATGGACAATGGGAATATGGGATATGCTTGGAATGTGATTTCATGTACTTATATAGAGAAAGAAGATGTAGGTGCAAATGGAGTAATATTAGAATATCAAAAATATTTAAAGCTTGTTTCAAGGTGGTACCGAAGTCATGGGGAGATTGCAAATGGGTTTTAGTTTTTGTCCCTTTGATAGGATTGAAATTGGAAAGTTTTTATTAGGTAATGTGATGATCTTGGGAAAAAAAATATTTGCAAATGACAACGAAACACTGTAGGTATGAGTTGCATTATCGATCAGGATAGATTGTTTCTTTTATTTGAGCTCAGCACTTTTTGTTTACGTTTACATCTTGTCATGTTTGGTATGTTGTCGATTAAGCGCATTGTGATAAGGGGGGCTTGAATTTTTTTTGTGACTGTATAATAAATATTTGTTGCAAATGGAGCTGGAGCGTCATTGTTGACAATTCTCTTGGCATAGTGCTAATGATGGACTAGATCAAAATGGCTCAATTAAATTCTAGTGCTTCTTCTATTAGTGAAGTTTCTAGAAAAAAAATATATCAAACGGCGCAATACACCTTGGGTCGCTACGGAAACAGCCTCCTTGTATAATTACAAGGGTAAGGTCTGCGTACAACTGACCCCCCAGACCCCAACCTGTTGGGAATATACTGGGTATGTTGTTGTTGTTGTATAATAAATATTTGTTGCGGAGTGAATTCGAAGATATTTATCAGCACTTTTGATATATTCTGCAGCAAGGGCCACAGGACTCTCCTGTTCAATGTATTATAAAACGTGACAAGAAGAATGCAACGTTTTACCTTTACCTTGCTCTCTCACCATGTAAGTAGGCATTTTTCCAGAGTTTGTGTGATGCTTGCCGACTGATTCTGAATTTGCCCTTTCTGCTGAATTGGGTCTGATGAGAATATGTCATAGATAATGCTTGAAGTTACGAATGATAGGTAGGATATTTTACATATGGTAATTTTTGTTGGATGATAACCAAATTCTTGAATCTTCATGATGTTTTACGTGTTTACGTGAGTATCCATTATTAACTGAACTTGATAGTATATCATACTGGGGCATTTATTTTGTAGAATATTTAGGTCGACTTTAATGTTTTCTTTACTTGACGTAGGTTTCTGATTGGTTATTGATTATGCATACAGCAATGACTTACTGTACTCTGTAGTATGAAATTATAGATAGTTGTTCTTGTTTCATGTTGGCTCTATCTAGCTAGTAGTTATGGAAGGGTGATCCTATTGTTATTTTTTAACTTTTTTTAATCAATTCAATTACTTACTATTATGCCTTTTTCATTTATGTGATTCTGTTTGAATCACCTATGAGCATTTCACTAGGAGAAATTTACATTCACTAAGTTCCTTTTGTAGACACATTGAGAATTCTGACATTGGCAAGGTATAATGACATTAGAAATAGGACCCGCTTGGTTTATTAATCTTATTTTGACAGATAATATTTTTAAAAAATATATTACGATAATTTATTCATAAAAGAATATTTTTTAGCCGAGTCATAAGTTTCTTGACCACCCCCTATATGTTTGCCAAGCTATTTCATGTGTTTCCTTGTATTTGTGCCTCTGAGATTCTAATGGGGATATTTTTGTCTTTACAGCATTCACGGACAAAGGGAAGTTTCTCCTAGCTGCACGTAGGTACAGAAGTCGTGCCCACACTGAATACATTATATCACTCGATTCCAGTGATTTATCTCAAGGAAGTAAAGCTTATGTTGGAAAATTAAGGTAAGGATTCCTATCCACCTTAAGAATGTTAGGTATTGAAGACACTGATTTGTCTTGAATAAATATGGTTGCTTAAAGGTTAGTTAATATAGCTCGATCCCCTGTAAATTTTTAAACCCTTGGTTAGGTAGCTTTTGTAGTAAAAACATATTTATGATTGGTCTGAGACTGAAGAAGACACCATGCTCGATTTACTTACTAATATATGTGAGAAAAAGTTGTAGAATCCTGATGATTTGTTTATATTTTTGTGCAAACGAAATTAAATAATGGCCGAGCTTTCCATATACTTCGCTTCAAACTGGTAAAATCTTGTATATGGAAAGCTCGACCATATACAAGATTTTAAGCTCGACGAAATTAACTAAATGGTCGAGCTTTTCATATACAAAATTTGCCAGCAGTTTGATCCGAAGTATAATGTAAAGCTCGGATCCGAAGTATAATGTAAAGCTCGACAATTATTTAGGCAATGTTTGGTAAAATTAGCTGAGAAGCTAACTTATAACTTATGAGTGATTTTCGAGCTTATTGCTTATAACTTATGACTTATAGCTGAAAAGGTAGCTTATATGATAAAAATATTTGGTAAAATTAGCTGATAAGCTAGCTGAAATAAAAATTTCAACGAGCTTATTTGAAAGAAAAATGCTACAAGTACATAATAAATGTGTATAGAGGTGTACATATCACTCACATGGAGTGAGGTCTACTTGATTTTTTATTTTTGGTAGGACCCACTTAATGTGAGTGTTATGTACACCTTTATGTACAATATTACGTACTTATAACATTTCTCTATTTGAAAAGCTACCCAAAGAAGTTTATGAGTTAAAGCTCAAGCTTTTTAAAAAACCTCGTCCTACCAAACGAAGCTTATTTGAATACAGGAAGCTTATAAGCTAACCAAGAAAGCTCTACGCTAGCTTATTTGGTTACCAAACATACCCTTAATTTCGATTTCCATGAAAATCGAAATCAACCTTTATATTTGTCAATTTTATTAAAGAATTTTTTCCCCTGTACCCCTCTTCTTGTTAAAAACTTCTAACGACCAATCATTCGCCTCCATCACAACAGGTCCAATTTCCTTGGCACCAACTTCACAATTTACGACAGCCAACCGCCCCACAGCCAGGCCAAGCCGTCCAGCAGTCGGGCCTGCCGCCGTATAGCCAGCAAGCAGATAAGCCCGCAAATACCCGCCAACAACTTTGTGGTGGGCCAAGTCTCGTACAAATTCAACCTCCTCAAGTCAAGGGGCCCGAGGCGAATGGTGTGCTCCCTCACGAGCCCATCATCCGACGAAAAAAACAGGTTATTGGGCCCGAAATCGCTTGCCGGGCCCGATTTGGTTTTGAAGAACAAGGCGCCGAGATGGCACGAGAACTTGGAGTGTTGGTGTTTGAATTTTCACGGTAGGGTGACGGTTGCCTCGGTTAAGAATTTCCAAATGGGTGGGAGTGCGGATGATGATGATGATGAGACGGTGATTTTGCAGTTTGGGAAAGTGGGGGACGACACTTTCACGATGGACTATAGAAGGCCGTTGTCGGCATTTCAGGCGTTCGCCATTTGTCTCACGAGTTTCGGGACGAAACTAGCTTGTGAGTGAGGTGTTTGTGAGGGGAGATGAATTTTTTGAAATTTTTATTTTGGTCCATCTTTTTTT